CCGGAGGCGCCCGACCGCTCTGTGCCACCGCCGGGCACCAGGTAGAAGGAGGAAGACTCCGAAACCAGAGGCCCGGCCCAAGAGTGGCTACGGGCCCTCTCGGGCCAGCCGGCCACGGACACCACGGGTATCAGGTCGAAAAGCAGAAGGCGGCGCGGGGGCCCAGGAGTAGCCAGGAGGATGGTGCTGAACCCGGCGTGGCGGGCTGCATGCACCAAGCGCGGGGCACCCGGGACCGGGAACAGGGATTCAGCGACCGCGGCCAGCGAAGCAAAGAACCAGGCAGCCACCTGGGCAGGGCACAATGTGGGCCATGCCTCCAGAGCCTCCGACGGCTTTGGCACTGGGCTGGGGCTAACGTCGGCTGCTGTGGTGACGTCACCATTCGGTTTTTTCAAGGATGAGGGAAAGCCAACATCGGTTACGTCTTCCTGAGGCAGCTCCGGCACTGAAATGTTACTAGGTGATTTTTCCAAACACACATGTGCCCCAGGCTCAGCAACGTCGCCGTGAGGCTGGTCCACAGAGCTCTGCGGGTCCTTGGAACTTCCTTCGCTTTCGGTTGGGAAGTTCGAATCACGTCCCCCTGGGACTGGGGGTCCTAGGCAATCCTGCCATGCCTCCCGGACTGAGGTTCCGTGTACTTGCTCTGGGAGGCAGAGCCATGCATAACAGGATCCCACATCCAGTTGTAGCTCCTGTCCAGTGCCGTCTAGCGAAAACACGGGCACCAGGAGTGTGAAGCCGGCGTCATAGTGAGGCCCCCGGGCATAGGGACCTAGAGGTGCAGGCCCCAGATCCAGGGAGCCCTCGCGAATCCCTCCACGAAGCAGCAAGAGCTCAGCCTGGGGAGGAAAGCGAGGGTCCCGGCGGTGAACGAGACCTAAGGGACGAGAAGGGATCCTGAGGGCGTGACCCAAAACCAGGGCGGGGTAGGGCGTGGCAGAGAGCTGGGAGTTCCCGAAGGAAGGGAGGGTTTACTTACCCAGCAGAGAGAAAACAAAATCCTTGGCCTGGAGGAGGTCTGGTCCCGGCTTGGGCCCGTCGCTCCAGCTCTCTTGAACACCTAGCTCCTGAATCAGCTGGGTTAGTTCTTGCAGCTGTGCCCCAGAGCAAAAGTCGATATCCGTGAGCGGCCGGGCTGGGGCTGGGGGCGGTGGGCCCCACCAGGGAGCACTTCCCCAGACCGCGGAAGCCATGTGGCTCTATAGTTTTGGGGCTAGGAAATACACGGACGGTAGGAAACCCGGATGGGTCGTTCTTTTGCTGCCGAAAAGTCTCCCGCGTTCTCTCTTCCCGAGGCCGAGGGAGTGCCCCACAGTCGGCCAATGGGTCTGCAGATCAAGGGCTCTAAATATAATCTTGAAAACGAACAAATAAATACCTCCTCCGTCCTAGCCCTTTTCTCATACGCTGGTCTCCCTCGCCCACGGACCGGTTCACCTGACTCATCAGGTAAAAAGTAGCTGTTGGGCCCCTCCTACCGAATGCAATAGTCAGTTCCCTCCGCTGCTCCTTGTCTGCCTCCCGTTACCTCTTTTTCTGAAGAGGTTTATGGTTTGCAGCTTCCCTCTTAGGGGTAGCTGCAAGGGCTGAGAAGAAGATGGTTAGAAGGATTCAACAGGTAACTTCTTCCTGCTGCCCACAAGGCCACGCCCCTAAGTTACAACCACGCCCATTTATGGAGGAAGTCAGGGTGGTTCCGGACCCGCCCCGCCTCCAGTGAGAGTCCAATCACTCCTTTTGCTCTGCTGAGATCTCCCGGCGATCCTGGGAGTTGTAGTTTATCTTTCAAGCTATCAGGGCTTTGGGGCCACGCCCCCACGTCCTTTCCTGTTCCGTTGAAGTAGTGCCTGATGGAAGTTGTAGTTTCCATTGAGATAAATTATTCTGTGCCTTTCCAAGCCCAGGTCAACCCAACACAAACATTCCTTGGGGTTGGAGCAGAGGCATAATAGGATGGATCTGAATAGCAAATCATAATGGGGGACATACCTTACTGCCTAGGGAGAAATAGGGGCCTCTACATCTCATGTGTGAGTAGAGGAACCCTGGTCACTATCTAGAAGGATTCTTCCATGCAAGTATAGCTTCATTTTAGAGATGAGACTGCAGCCTAAAAAGGTTGCACATGACTTGTAAAAGGTCAGAGTTAAGCCAGAGAGGTGTTGGAAAGGGGCTCCCCAGCTGGGTGGAGAAGTATCTCCTTGGAATCAGTGGTGGTAGTATTAGACAAGAACACACAGGTGGTGGCCCAGAAATGGACATCTGACTCAGGGTAGGGATGTATTAATGATGCTCACCTCAGACACGAGTGGTGGCAGGGAAAACACTTTGGAATATTGTGGCTCGTGTGTCTATATAGAAGAGTTACCAGGAATGAAAATCAAGTCCAGAGGGAATTCCCAGCTGGAAAATTATTGGGGGAAGGAAATTGCTTTCAGTAACCAATGCTGTCATGGACACAGCTTAATTCTAGGATGAAACTAGGAGACAGAATAATAGGACAGAAAGATGGGAAACCAGGGTGGGACTGGTAAGGGGGGCAGGGAAATAGGAAACCAGAGAGAGGCTCACAGATCAGACCAATGTATTACTGAATGAGGAATTCTTACATTCCTTTTCCCAAGGGTCTGCCTCTGGAGTGGATTAGGCCTTAGTCCATGGGCAAGATAATTAAGTGGAGACACCTGGAAAAATTAGAGGCCTAAAAAGGAGAGGATTCTCAGAATCCAGAGCTCAGTTTGGGGAGCCTAAGTCCCTGGGGTTCCTAGTCACTAACAGAGAGGTCTTCTTCCTCAGTCACCAAGAGCCCCAAACACAGCCCAGAACTGGAGAGTCATTTGGTTTTGATTAGAGACACCAGGTCAGGAAAACTGAGGCGTGAGCTCTTTCTCACAGTCCAGGGAAATCAGGCATTAGGCGTCCATCCCTCTACCTTACCTCCTCCCCAGAGGTTGGCTTCTGAGCCACCCTAAAAAGAAATAAGTGCTCTGGGCTCTGTGGGAGTTCTAGGACGCTGGGTATGGGTGACAGGGAGAGGAAAGTTCCTCTAAACTCTAAAGTATTATTCTCCAATAGGATTTTCTGTGATGATGGAAATGTTCTAAATGTGTACCATCCAATACAGTAGCCACCAACCACAAGTGGCTATCGAGCACTTGAGAGATAATGAGACTGAGGAACAGAACTTTTAATTTAACTAATTTACATTCTAATAGGCATATTTGGCTAATAGCTACTGTGTTGGACAGTGCAGCTCTAGGACCCTGGGGATAATGGGTTTGGCTGTGTAGCTTCGCAGGGGAAGCAGGGGTAATTTCAGTCCAGATTAGGCCCTGTGGGGTGTGGCTGGGTAGATATCACCAAACAACTGCAGAATACTTTTCTTGCCTCTTTATTTCTCGTGCACATCTGTCCTCTCTTTTTCCAAGTTTCTCATCACACACTGATATCCCCACTCCTTGATGGTCTCAGGTGAGTTGCTGGATGCCTCTTAGTGAAGGCGCCTGGGAGACAGAGCTTCACACTTGTCCCTGCCCACTCCAAACTGTCTCTGGCGGGCGTCAAAGACCACATGCTCTACCCGAGTGCCTGACCCAGGACAGTGGGGCTTCCACTGATTGGTTTTGGGAGGCACAGACATCTGGCGGTAGTTCTGACAGGTTGGAGGAACTGTGTCCACAGGGCGGTACACCCAGTCTTGGCTGCCTGCTCGCCGGGAGGACGACTGCAGCTCAATTAGTACAGGCACCTCTGAGAAGGTTTGCAGGTCATTGTAGATCACCGGGGCCTTGGGAGAGCCCGTGTTCTGACTGAGTGGGACAGAAGTCCATGGTGTGTGCTGCTCTGCTTCCTTTCGAGGAATCTCCCCGGATACAAATGCCTTTCGGGTCTGATGTGGACCCAAGACTTGGGCAGAGTCAGTTCCTAGAGTGAGGCCTGGGTTCTTGTGAAGATCAGGATTTGGGACAAGGCATGAGGTTTTGTTGAGTCCTGATCCTTTGGTAAGGCCTTGAGTCTTGGGGAGGCCAGAGCCTTGGCTAAGGACTGGGCCCTTATGGGGGCCAGGATCTTGATTAATTCCTGAGGACTTGTGGCATTTAGGGTCATGGGTATGTTCTGGGCTCCTGCAAATTCCAGCATCTTGGGTAAGGCCACATTGCTTGACTTCAGTGGCTTGAGTAAGGCCCGGATTCTTATGGAGGTCAGAATCTTGAGTAAGGCCTTGGCTCCTGTAGACTCCAGAATCTTGGGTAAGACCTGGATTCTTGTAGTCTCCTGAGTCTTGGGTAAGGCCTGAGCCCTTATAGAGGCCAGAGGTTTGGACAAGGCCTGGGCTTTTATGGAGACCAGATTCCTGGGAAAGGCCTGAGCTCTTGTTGACTCTAGAGTCTTGGGCAAGGTATAGACTCTTCTGTGACCCAGAATCTTGGGTAAAGCCTAGATTCCTGGAGACTCCCGGATCTTGGGCGTTACCCGTACTCTTGTGACATCCAGAATCTTGCAAAGGGCCTGAGCTATTATGGAGGCCGGTTTTGGGGGAGCGCTCTTGACTTTTATAGAGTGCAGTCTCCTGGTTTTGCTCTAGATTCCCATAGACTCCAGAGTCTCGCAGAACGCCTACACTCCTCTGAATGTCAGAAGCTGGGAGAAATGGTGCATTCTTGTGGAGACCAGAGGGTTGGGTGAGACACGGACTCCTAAAGATACTCGCATCTTGAGTAAAACTTAGGCTCTTCTGGGAGCCAGAATCTTGGGTAACAACTGGATTCTTGTGAAGTTCAGAGCTTTGGGAAAGACTTGAATTCTTGAATAGAAAAGGGTCTTGGCTTACGCCTGGAAGCTTGTGGAGACCTGGATCTTGGGTAAGGCCTGGGTTCTTGTGGAGGCCTGAATTTGGGGTAAGGCCTGGGTTTCTGGAAACAGTAGAGTCTTTTGAAGGGCCTGGGGTATTTTGGAGGCCAGAGTCTTGGGTGAGGCCTAGACTCTCATGAAGTTCAGGAGGTTGAGTCCGGTTGGGGGTTTGGGAAATTGTGGAGAACTGGGTAGGGATGGGCCCCTGGGAAGAGAGGACAGTTTGAGGAGACTTGGAGGTTGGCGGAAGGGTGGCAGTTTGTGTTAAGGTGGAGGGCTTCTGGTGGTTGGTGTGTTGAAGGACAAAGGATCTGGGAGAAACAAGAGGTAGAGAAAGAATGCGTGGTGGAGGCACAGTGCCTGGCGAGGTCTGGGTACTGGTTGGAGAATGGAAACAAGGTTGAGAAGGTGCAGCATCCTTGGAGTAGACCAGGAATTTGGGGTAGACTGGAGCCTGGGAGTCTGCTTCTCTCTTCTCAGAACTGCAAGGGTGGAAGCTGCAGTAAGGGAAGGTCTTGGGCTGTAAGAACTCGCCGTTGGCGTCATTTGAGATCTTCCATTCCATATTCCCCAGCTCCAGGTAACCCAATATGGATCCTGTGGAGAGCCTGGCACCATCCGCACTACATGGCTTTGATGTTTGCTCAGCTGTACCAGAGCTCACTGGGCCATGCCCCTCTTGGGGCCTGGAGAGGGTACCCAAGTCCTTTCTGGAATACCCAGAATTCTGAGGGGGACACACATGGAATAAGTTCTGCTTTACCCTGCGGGCATCATAGACCACGTGACCCCTGGAGAGGCCCTGGCTGAAGGCGGACAGGGTAGAGGGAATAGAAGTTAGGACGGGGGAAGGGGTAGTAGCCGGGACTGGAGTGGTAGTCAGGGCCATGACCAGCGCTGGGACAGGGGTTGTGGCAGAGATTGGGGCAGAGGCTGGTGCGGGGGCTGGGGCAGGAGTTGCAGCAGGGGCAGAAGTTGGAGGAGGGACCAGGGTACGGTTACGGGTATAGGTTAGATGAGCATGGGTCAGGGTGCAGGCTGAGGCGGGGGCTGTTGTGTGCTCAGGGTTGTGGCCCAAGGACTGGGCTGAGGCATGTGAGGGGATCTGGGTTTGGGCCTGGGCCAGGATTTGGGCTGAGGGGTGCTCAGGACCATGGACCTGGGCAGGGCTGTGCTCAGGAGTGAGGGCTGGGGAGTGAGTCTGGGCCTGGGAGGTGGTGTGTTCTGCGGGGTGGACTGAGGAGTGAGTCTGCACCCGAGGCATGGCATGCTCAGGAGGGTGGGCTGAGGAGAAGGTCTGGGTCCTGGCAGGAGTGTACACAGGGGGCTGGACTGGGGAGCGAGTTTGGAGCTGGGGTGGGGCATGCTCAGGGGGATAAACTGGGGAGGGAGGCTGGGCCTGGGGCAGGTCACGCTCAGCGGGGTGGGCTGAGGAGAAGGTCTGGGTCCTGGCAGGAGTGTGCCCAGCAGCGTGTACTGGGGAGCAGGTTTGAGGCTGGGGTGGGCCGTGCTCAGGGGGGTTAACTGGGGAGCGGGTCTGGGCCTGGGCAGGGGTGTGCTCAGAGGGGTGGGCTGAGGAGAAGGCCTGGGCCCTGGCAGGAGTGCGCCGAGGGGGCTGGACTGGGGAGCAGGTCTGGGCCTGGGCTGGGGCCTGGGCTGGGTCACAGGCTGGGGTCTTAGTCTTGCTCTCTTGGGGCAGGCGGAGTGGAACCATGTCCAACTTGCTCATCCTGTGGTACTTGGAAGATGTCTCTTGCCTGGAGAAAAAGGTGTCTTGGGCCTTTAAGGCTGTGACTTGAGGGGCCTCCCCAGCTCCCATTATCCCCTCCTTCCACAGTCCCCATGGAGCCTCCATGGGAGCCCCAGCGTGTCCACACTGAGGCGGCATCCAGCAGCACTTAGAAGCCTTCTCATCATTCGTGTCTGGTATCCAGGAGTCAAGGTGGTTAGGCTGCCCGAGCAGGAAGCTTGGGTGACAGTGGAAGTGGGAAGAGACTCTTGAGCACAGGTTCTTGGGATCCACAGAACAGCGCATGCACATGGGATGGCTGCCTGGAGAGCTGGATTGCTTGTCTGCAGGGAAAGGCGGGATGGGACAAGGCTTGGGTTCCTGAGGGACTAAGAATCGGGACAGGGATAGAAGAAAGAGGACAGGCCCACATCCCTTGAGCCCACGCGGGGGTCCACTCACCTTTGGGGAAAAAATGACGGAAAAGAGTCCGCAAGGAGCTCTTCAGATGCCTCCATAGCTGAGGGAAGCAGGGAAGGGGAGAGTCCGGGAGCAGTGTGAGCCCGGAAGTCCAACCCTTGTCTGGCCACATCCCAGCAGCCCTCCCATCTCAGCCCTTTGGATCCCAGGGTCCCCCAACCCTGCTGCCCAGATTCTGCCCTGACCAGAGTCACCACATTGATCCCCACGTTGAGCAAGATGAAGCTGCCCAGAATCAGAAGAATTGAGTCTCCTAGATCCTGGCACTTCCTGGGGTTGGTGCCAGAGCATGCCTGGGCTCCGTGGTGGGTTCGCTCACCCATGGCCAGGGGTCCCAGGACTATCTGGGCCCCCTGGCCCCCACATACTCACTAAGAGCCAGACCCCTCTGGTGGGGGAGGTGGAGAAGGACTGGGTCATAATAGGGCAGGTGGCTGGGGTCACAATGAGGGAGGAGGTGGAAAAGGAGGGCCCAGGATGGCATTCCCTGGTAACTAGGTTCAGGTCACCTGAACCTGGACAGTCAAACAGGGTTGGGAGGCCAGCACACCTCCCCTCCAGCGGTCAGACATTCCCTCACTACCCGCTGACTCACTCGTTCAAACACACATTCTATCTCCCTTATCACTCCTGAGACTAGGAAGACCTTGGCCTCAGCCCTAGGGAACGCCTGGCTAGAATCCTGGACCTTGGCCTTCTTCATGCCCTTCACTGGGCGTGGGCCTGGATTTGCCCAGATGTGGCACCTCCAAGTCTGGAATCTGACCACAGTTTCTTGGGTGAGGCTGAGCCCTCTGAGCCCCCTGGGGGGACAGGGAGTGCTGAGACACAGAGTAGGTGCCCAGAGAACCATAGATTTGCAGCTTCAAATCTAGTTAGTGCAGGACCATGCTGGCAAGACCACAACCACTAAGCCAAGGGGACCCTCAGGCCAAGAAGGGAACACTGGCTTCTCATTTCAGGAAGCCAAGGAGTGGCTCTTCCAGGCCACACACCATCCATGTTTCCTGGACTCTGGTTGCTCTTTATTTCCTCTCTCCACGCTCCGCCCCACCACCTCCATTTGCTGCTCGTCAGTTAATTTTCCCAGTCCGGCTCCTATGCAGAGAAGGCCTCGAGGCTGAGGTGGAAGGCGGCAGAGAGCTGGCCCTCACTCTGCTCTCCTGCACCTGGCGCTTCAGCTCCAGAGTGTCATACACCTGGTAGTTGGCATTGCCCCCTGGGGTCCGGCTGAGTGGCATGAAGGTGGGCGAGGGCGGGGAAGGCTCAGTTGCCTGGACTTCCGGCAGATGGTGGGAGGCTCGGAGGAGCAGGGCTGAGCTGGGCCCCGGGGCCTGTTGGTACGAGGCCTCACCCAACACAGTGAGGGAGGTGGAGGTGGTCAGAGGGTGCCGTGGGGGCAGCGCCTCAGCCCATTCGGCCGCCCGGCGCCGGACCTCGTGGGGATCCCGGGAGTAGTTCAGGTGACCTGTGGACGGGTGGGGGCTGCGGTTGGGCTGAACGTAAGCATGGCCAGGGAGGCTCCGCCGGTGAGACTGTGGGGAGTAATGCTCCTGGGCTTCGGGCCGGGAGCCCCGGGTCACCAGGGCGGATGGAGGCTCAGAGCCTTCCAGACCACGCCGCCGCTGATCCCAGGAGTCATACAGGAGCTGGCCCCTTGAGGCGTAAGGGCTGTGGCCCCCAGGCACCCAGGTGGGGTTAGGGGGCAGCCTTCGGGGAGGCGGTGGAGATGAGACACACTGCTCGGTCTCCATGTTGCCCCAGATGTGGGATGATGAGCAGGGGGTCCTGTAGGACTGCAGCCTTAGCTCTGACTTGGCCTCCACACGCTTGGGCATGCGGCGCAGTTCTGGTGACAGGTAGAGAGAGGGCGGCGTCAGGCTGGCTAGGATCCCACCCTGGCGACCCCACAGCCTCATGTTGGAGGGCAGGCCCATCTGCTGGTAGAGCCCTCCCCAGCCCCCTCGATGGTACTTGGGATGTAGGAAGGAAAGGTCATCCTCCTCCTCCAGGTAGGAGTCCAGGTCCTCCCTCTTACAGGAGGGCTTCGGCCGCAGCTGTGACAT